AAAAATAATTTTACGTTTCATATGGAACCAGAGAAGACCCATATAGCAAGAGTAATTATAGGCAATAAAAACAAAATGGGAGTTATCAATTTACCAGACTTCAAACTATACAACAAGGCTATGGCAATTAAAACAGCTTGGTACAGGCACAAGAACAGGAACATTGACCAGTGGAATAAAACAGAAAACTCAGATATAAAACCATCCCCATATAGCCATCTAATCGATGACACAGCAGACAAAAACATACACCGGGGAAAAGAATCATTATTCAATAAATTGCTGGAAAACATGGATAGCCACATATAGAAGACTGGATCCAGACCTTTCACCTCTCACAAAAATCAACTCACACTGGGTAACAGACTTAAACCTAATGTGTGAAACTATTAGAATTCTAGGGGAAAACATTGGAAATACTCTTCTAGACATTGACCTAGGCAAAGAATTTATGAAGAAGATCCCAAAGGCAATCACAGCATCAACAAAAATAAATAAATGGGACCTGATCAAATTAAAAAGCTTCTGCACAGCCAAATAAACTGTCATGAGAGCAAACAGACAACCCACAGAATGGGAAAAAATTTTCGCAAGCTACACATCCAATAAAGGGCTGATAACTATCTATTTAGAACTCAGGAAAATCAGTAAGAAAATATCCAACAACCCTATAAAAAAGTGGACAAAGGACATGAACAGAAACTTTCCAGAAGACAGAATAATGGCCAACAAACATATGAAAAAAATGCATCAATCAACAGGGAAATGCAAATCAAACCCACAATGAGATATCACTTATCTCCAGTGAGAATGGCCTTCATTAACAAGTCCCAGAACAGTAAATAATGGAGTGGATGTGGAGAAATAGGAACACTCCTACATTGCTGGTGGGACTGCAAACTAGTTCAACCTCTGTGGAAAGCAATATGGAAATACTTTAAAGTGACACAAGTAGATCTACCATTTGATCCAGCAATCTCATTACTGGGCATCTACCTAAAAGAACAAAAGACATTCTATAAAAAAGACACCTGCACTCAAATGTTGATAGCAGCACAATTCACAATTGCAAAGTTGTGGAAACAACCCAAGTGTCTATCAATACATGAGTGGATTAATAAAATGAGGTATATTATACAATGGAGTACTATTCAGCTATAAGAAACAACGGTTATATATCACCTCTTGTATTTTCCTGGATACAGCTGGAACTCATTCTACTAAGCGAAGTATCCCAAGAATGGAAAAATAAGCACCACATGTACTCACCAGCAAATTGGTTTCACTGATCAACACCTAAGTGGACATACAGGAATAACATTTATTGGGTGTTGGAGAAGGGAGGGGAGAGGAGGGGATGGGAATATAAATACATAATGAGTGTGATGCACACCGTCTGGGGGATGGACATGCTTGAAGCTCTGACTCAAGGGGGGAGGGGGCCAAGGACAATATACGTAACCTTAATATTTGTACCCCCATAATATGCTGAAATAAAAATTAATTAAAAAAATTACTTATCATCATCAAGTGGGATTCATGCCAGGGATGCCAGGACAGTTCAACATATACAAATCAATCAATGTGATACATCATATCAACAGAAGGAAGGACAAAAACCATATGACTTTGTCAACAAAATTCAACATCACTTTATGATAATAAACTGTCAAAAAACTAGGTGTAGAAGGAACTTAACACGATAAAAGCAATATATGACAGACCCACAGCGACTATCATACTGAATGGGGAAAAATGGAAAGCTTTTTCTCTAACATCTGGAACAAAACAAGGATGTCTACTTTTACCCCTGTCATTCAACATAGTACTGGAAGTTTTAGCTAGAACATTCAGACAAGAGAAAGAAATAAAGGGCGTCCAAATTGGAAAGGAACTCAAATTACCCTTGTTTGCAGATGATATGATCTTATATCTAGAGAAACCTAAATCCTTCACACACACAAAAATTATTGTTAGAACTGATAAACAAATTCAGTAAAGTTGCAGGATAAAGCATCGACATATAAAAATCAGTAGAATTTATATATGCCAACAGTAAACAATCTAAAAAAGAAACTGAGAAAGTAAACCCATTGATAATAACCACAAATAAAATATCTAGGAATAAACTCAACCAAAGAAGTGACAGATCTATAATGAAAACTATGAAACATTGATGAAAGAAATTAAAGACGACACTAAAAAATGGAAAGAAGAAAAACAATACAAGATAAACAGAGTGGCATAAGGGGATGCTGACAGAAAAGTCAGAGCACGTCTTTGGGGGAGCTAACAATTGGAGCAGAAAACTCAAAGGATTGAGTGCAAAGAGCACAGAAGGAGAAAGTAGAGCCATGCTGGCAAGTTCCAGAAACAGCCATGAGATCACCACAGCTAAAGCAGAGTGAGTAAAAGAATGGGAGGAAATGATGGCCCAGAGGGAGTGGGGATGGCTTATGGAAGGGACTATATTCTACACCTGGTGATAAGGAAACCACTGGAGTCTTGATTATAGAAATAACATGATCTGACATGTTTTAAAAGCATTACTCTAGCAGCTCAAGCAGAAGAGGAACCAGAACAAAGATTCTGAGGCAGGGCCATTCCCAGCCTGGTCTAGGTCCAGCAAGAAGTCCAAGTATGGCCAAGCAAAGAAGTGAGGCATTAAATAGAGAAGTAACAGAAAGTCCCAGGCTATGCAGGAACTTATTAGCCACTCAAACAACTTAGACTGTTCCTCAGAATGACATGAGAAGCGACTAGAAGATTTGGGAGCAGAATGACATGAGAAGCGACTAGAAGATTTGGGAGCAGAATAATGGCATGACCTGACTGAGATTTTAAAGGATCTCTCTAACTGTCATGCTATAAAAGCTTCAGGAAGACAAGAGCAGAAGAAAGAAAGTGAACTGGGACATTGTTATTGGTTGAACCGTGTACCCCCAAAAGGCACATTGAAGTCTTAACCCCTGGCACCTGTGAATAAGACCTTTTATACAAATAGGGTATTATGGTTTAAATTATGTCTCTCTCACAAAATATATGTTGGAATCTGAACCCCTAGTACCTTAGAATGTAACCTTTCAAAGGTAACCAGCTTGAAATGAGGTCATTAGGGTAGGCTCTAATCCAGTATGGCCAGTATTCTTATAAAAAGGGGAAATTTGGACATATGCAGACACACATGTGAAGATGAAGGTATAGATCAGAGTGGATACCTCTATACACCAAGAAATATCAAAGACTGTCAGAAACACCAGAAGCTAAGGGAAAGGGCTGGAACAGATTTTCCCTGACAGCCCTCAGAAGGAATCAACCCTGATTCTGGGATTGATCTCAGACTTATGGCCTCCAGAACCATGAGACAATCAATTTCTGTTGCTTAAACCACTAAGTTTGTGGTACTTTTGTTATGGGAGTCCTAGCAAATTAATACAGACATTATGCCCACAGTCCTCGTAAGAGACAAAGGTGGCCTGGATCAGAGCAATAGTGGCAGAGAAGAGAGAAGTGAGAAGTGGTTGGCTTGTCAAAATATCTGAAAAAAGAACCAAAGATGTTTGCTGAAGGTCTGACTGAGATATAAGAGAAGAGTAAAAGATGACTCAGAGGTTTTTATTCTGAGCAAGCAGGCAAAAGATTCTGCCATTTACTGAGATGAAGAAGATTGTAGGAAGTGTCAGTCTATGGGAGAAATCAGGATTTAAGCATTCAAATAAGAGACATAAAACAAAAGAAAGATGAAAAGAGGTAGAAAAGCTCAGCAAAGAAAATGAAGAAAAGAGAAAAACAGCTATAAAAGACAGTAAAAGCAACAAAACAGAATAACTACAAAGGAAAACACAAAGTCATGGGGAAGAGACCAGAGGAAGTAGCACAAAATGAAAACGATCAAATATTTGAAAACGGAGAACATGATAGATACTGGGAATGGACACAGGAGATCCAACATATACATATTTATTATTCCAAAAAATATAATAAAAGAAATGGGACAAAAATCACATTCAAATACACAACAAAAATTACCTTTCCTGAAATAAAGTTACTCTTGAATTTATGAATTGAAAGATCATGCAATTTCTACAAAATCTGAATACAGAAAATCATTAAACATTGAGACATTCAGGTGTAGTTTCTATGTTTCAAAGTATTTTGAAAAGTCTTAATGATAAACAATGAATTCTTCTTAAATACAGAACTAAGACTAAATAAGTGTAAGAATTATGGGTGTATAATAAAATGTAAATGTTATACAAACTAAAAATATTATAATTAACAAAAACCAGGAAGATGAACTAAGGGATAGAGAAATGAGTTTCCTTGGGCTAATCTGCCCAACTTTCATAGCACTAGAGCACCTCTCAGGGTGACTTTATAGGACAACAGCAAGTGGAAATCCTCCCAGTGGGGAGAGCTGGGAGTACACTTGGCTTGCTACTTTGCATGGGAACTAGCCCGAGGTAATAAGACCAATGGACAGATAGCTGGATAGTCAAGGGCACTGAGAGAAGATAGGAAAATCACAGATGAGGTCTATGAAATCATTTAAAAATTGAAATATATGGCTTAAAAACAATAAACTCTAACCTCAAGGTCTTTGTAATAATCCTTTCCCCCTTAAACTTAGAGGGATCTTTCTAGAACTATTAAATGTTTATGTAGAATAAACATTTATCTGAAGTTCAGCAGTACCTTCTATTTTACTTCTATTGCTTTTGCTGTTACATTTAAAAGAGGTAAAGCATTTAGCTGGAAGAGAAGTAGGGTTTGGTCAGTTTTATCTTGACTGGGAGAGACTTCAGCATGTTTTTGCTGCTATCTTCATTACACTCCTAATTCCAGTCAGTTTCTATTATGAAGCCCTTGAACTCTGCCCCTTCATTCCTTCCACAATCAAAGACAGATGAACACTTTAAACACCTCAAACAGTACTGTTTTACTAAGGGAAAACATGCTGGTTTACAAATATGTCAGCTGTGGCTCTAACATTTACTTACCCCCAACCACAGACACACTTTATCAGTAGGAGGAATTGAAGCTTTGCAGTATAGGTTATCTGCCAGTAAGAATCTGGTCTCCAGTGAGTTGGTGGTTTCCTTCAAAAAAAAAAAAAATGATACCACCATAAAAAGGCCAGTTTGATGGGAAGTTTATAAAGAAAAGATCACACAGTTGAATCTGACATTTAAAAACAGTCCCATCATGAAGACTAAGGGTAGTGGTAAAAGAAATGAACACTAAAGCTAGATGGCTGGGCATAGACTATGGCTCAGCTACTTACTAGCTATATGAATGTGGCACCTCACTTAACCTGTGTCTCAGGTTCCTCATCTGTCAAATGAGGATTAATAACAGTCCCTATACCTACAAAGGCAGTGCTAAGCACTGAATGTTCTCTCTCTCTCTCTCTCTCTCTCTCTCTCTCTCACACACACACACACACACACAAAACAGTGCCTGACACACAGAGAAAGTGCTATACAAAAATTAGCTACTACTATTATTTCACTGGTGCTTCATGCCCAACCATTTTCTAAAGTCTCTTATGAAGTTTAATACATATAATAATGTACTAGAAATGTAGTTATTCTACCAGTAAATTAACAGATTATATGCACACACACAATCTTTTAAATACAATATGCTTATGTAATTTAATCTTTATAGCCTGCTTTTATTTAGTGAGTACTAGATTAAGACATAGAAGACTCTCAAATTTAGTTCTGCCAGAAACTATCTATGTGGACACTGGTCAGGTGTAACCTCTCTATAACTGTTTCCTCAACTGTGAAATGAAAACCTGAAACAGATAATTTCTAAGATTCTTTCCATCTCTATAAACCTTGGATTTACTCATTACTCTTTAGATGCTATTATCTCAAAATAAGACATTTTCTTTTTGTAACTAAAACAATTTCAAATTGCATTTAACTTTTGCAAACACTAAATGTAAGCAAACACTAAATGTAAGTAACTAAAACAATTTCAAATTGCATTTAACTTTTGCAAACACTAAATGTAAGTTATCCAAGTGTGGGCCTTAGAATTAAATCTGACTTTTAGAGGATGGCCACAAAAGCCATATTTATGATAGAAGCACACTGTCTGTAACATTAATGTACTCAAGGTGGTGGACACGATCCTACAACATAGATCAAATACCAGTGATCCAAGAGTCAAAGAAGATGAGTTTCTGCCAAAGTATCCTGGTTTGCTCATATTTACAAACAAAAATGCACTTACTTTTTTCTTCTGCATATATTTTAGAATTTCCAAAGTCTGTTTAATTTCAGGAATCTGACCTTTCAGCCTATGAATAATAAGAAAAAGGTTAACTTAATATTTTGCAGGCAAGAATAAACACCAGGACATAGTCTTAGCAGCTTTGCATTTTTATTAATATGTTCTTGAGGAATATTTACAGATATAAAATATTTAAGATATTTTATACCTACGATTATTAAGACCAGTCTGGACAACGTAGAGAGAACACATCTCTAAAAAAAATCAAAATTAGCTCGGCCCAATGGCATGTGCCTGTAGCCCCAGCTACTTGGGAGCCTGAGGCAGGAGGATAACTTGAGCCCAGGAGTTTAAGGCCACAATGTGCTATATTGCACCACTGTACTCTAGCCCAGGCAACAGAGTCAGAGCAGTCTCCAGAAAAAAAAAAATGAAGAGGACACCAAAAAATGGAAAGATATTCCATGCTCAGGGACTGGAAGAATTAATATTGTAAAAATGTCCATACTACCCAAAGCAATCTATAGGTTCAATCCAATCCCTGCCAAAATACCAATTACATTCTTCACAGAAATAGAAAAAATAATCCTAAAATTTATATGGAACCACAAAGGACCTTGAATAGCCAAAGTCACCCTGACCAAAAAGAACAAATATGGAGGAATCATCACATAACCTGACTTCAAATTACACTATAGAGTTGTAGTAACCAAAACAGCATGGTACTAGCATAAAAACAGACACACAGACCAATGGAACAGAATCAAGAACCCACAAATAAATCCACACATCTATAGTGAACTTACCTTTGACAAAGGTGCCAAGAACATACAATGGGAAAAGGACAGTCTTTTCAATAAATTGTGTTAAGAAAACTGGATATCCACATGCAGAAGAATGAAACTAAACCCTAATCTCTTGCCATATATCAAAATCAAAGCAAAATGGATTAACAACTTAAATATAAGATCTGGAACTATGAAACTACCAGAACAAAACATTGGGGAAACACTTCAGGACATTGGTCTGGTCAGGGACTTCTTGAGTACTACTCCCAAAGCATAGGCAACGAAAGCAAAATCAGGCAATGGGCTCACATACAGCTTAAAAGCTTCTGCACAGCAAAGGAAACAATAAACAAAGTGAAAAGACAACCACACAATGGGAGAAAATATTTGCAAACCACCCGTCTGACAAGGGACTAATAAACAGTATATGTAAGGAGCTCAAAAAACTCAATAGAGAAAAATCAAATAATCTGATTCAAAATGAGCAACGGATCTGAATAGACATATCTCAAAAGACATACAAATGGCCAACGGGTATATGAAAAATGCCCAACATCATTACTCATCAGAGAAATGCAAGTCAAAAGTACAATGAGATATCATCTCACCCCCAATTTAAATGGCTTTTATCAAAGACAGGCAATAACGAACGCTGGCAAGGATGTGGAGAAAAGGGAACCACTGCACACTGTTATTGGGAATGTAAATTAGTGCAAACACTATGGAGAACAACAGTATGGAGGTTCCTCAAAAAACTAAAAACAGAACTACCATATGACACAGCTGAGTATATAACCAAAGGAGAGGAATTCAGCATATCAAAAAGATATCTACACTCCCATGTTTGTTGCAGAACTATTCACAAAAGCCAAGATTTGTGAATCAGCCTAAGTGTCCATCAATGGATGAATGGATCAAGAAACTGTGGTATCTGTACCACAGTGGAGTATTATATAGCCACAAAAAACAGTGAAATTCTGACATTTGCAACATCAACGGAACTCAAGAATGTTATGTTAAGTGAAATAAGCCAGGAAAAATGGCGAAATAGGGCTGACCTCTTGAATCTTGGCTCTCGGGGTGAGGGGTGAAGAGGGTGGACGACCACACGCAGGCCATATGCACCTACTCTGGAATAGATTTGCAGGACTGCAAAAAGACACTGGGATACGGAAATCGTGGACAACAATTAAAGGTGAACTGAAATTCTTCCACAAAATCCGGGCAGTTGGAATTATAGTGGTGAGGGAGTGCGCCCGCGTGTCAGCCGCCCCACGGGCTGGCCTGAGGAGGCATCCCTTCTCCCCCATACAGGGAGACGATCCCTTCCCCACTGGTCCCCACGCCCACGTAGGCAGGGAACTGCCTGAAGTTGATGGGAGGTGGCAACGTGGGCAGACGAGCGGTTTGGAGGGGAGTCTGAAGCAGGCAGCATTTTGAATTCTACGCAGTGCCCCACTGAAGCAGTGGGGAGTGCAGGAAGGGTCTGAACCCAGCACCCGCCCTGCCCCGTGGCTTGGAGACTCTGCGCAGGAGACGTTCTCCATGTTTTCCCACTGCCCCAAACCAGCTGAACTGTTCTTGCTTCAGGAGAGGGCAGCCTATCAAGCCCACAGCACCGCTGAAGCGGTAGTGGGTAGGGAGAAGGGCCCAGTTCTGTGCCCGCTCCCCTGCTCCGCTACCCTACCCCCGCAGCTTGGAGAAGCTGTGGAGGACCGCACTGGAGGAGTTTGCCAGGAATCCCTACTACCCTAAACCAGACAAACTCTTCGAGCAGCTGGAGAAGGCACCTCTCTGAACCGCCAGAACCCCACTGAACCAGTAGCGGGAGAAGAAAGGGTCCAAACCCTGTAGCCACTTCCTAGACCCACCACACTGCCCTGAAGCTTGGAGACGCTGCGGGGGGCAGTGCTCAAGCATTTCTCTGGCACCTCTTCTACCCTAAACTGGCTGATCTGTTCGGGCCTCCAGAGAAGGCAACTTGTTGAGCTCCCAGCGCTCCGCTGAAGCAGAAGCAAGTGGGAGAGGGTCCGAACCCAGCAGCTGCTTCCTAGCTCTACCGAACCGCTCCTTAGCATGAAAATACTGTGGAGGGCTGCCCTGGTAGTAATCTTGTCTTCCCCTCTGCCCTAATCGGGCAGGTGGCTTTGAAAGCTGAATTTATAGGGGTGGAAAGTTGAGAGTGCTGCTTTGTTTGGCATCTATCTCACAAGTTTGAACCTGAGTGGTATCTTACTGCACTCAGCGGTTGGCGTTCTGTGCCCAGAGAGTAGAGCCTGTCTTAGAAAGGCAGAGAAGCGAAGGAGGCTGCTATTCCTGAAAACTCGAAGAACCCTTGGGAGAGATGATACAAAATCAGAACACATCCTCCCCAAGTCTTCCAAGGATCACTCCTTTGGAACCCAAGTACACAGCTTATAATCGACTTCCAGCACCTCCGGTCCTCAACAAAGTATCCAGATGAGGAAGAACCAGCGAAAAACATCAGGAACCATGAAATATCAGACAGAAAAGTCACCTCCAAAAGAAAATACTCATTCTTCACCAACTGACACCAACGTACATGATATGATTAAACTAACAGAGGAAGAATTCCGAATATGGATTGTTAGAAAGCTCAACGGAATCAAAGAGAAAATAGAATCCCAACATAGAGAAACCACAAGAACAATCCAGGAAATGAATGAAAAATTCTCCAAAGATATAGAACTAATTCAGAGAAACCAAGCAGAAATTCTAGCAATGAAGGAAACATTCAAGGAACTCCATAACCCAGTGGAAAGCCTCAAAAACAGGATAGATCATGCTGAAGAAAGAATCTCAGAGCTTGAAGATTATACCTACACTCTAAACAAATCAGAGGAAGAAAGGGTGCACAGAAACAAGAGACAAGATCAAACCTTACAGGAAGTATGGGATTATGTTAAAAAGTCAAATCTCAGAATGATTGGCATTCCAGAAGGGGAAGAAGAACATTCACAAGGGTTGGAAAATTTATTCTACGGCATACTGGAGGAAAATATGCCAGGCCTAGCTAGAAATCTGAATATCCAAATTCAAGAAGCGCACAGAACTCCTGGGAGACACAATGCGAATAGGCAATCGCCTCGTCATGTGATTATTAAGTTGACCAAAGTAAATGTGAAAGAAGCAATCCTCCCTACAGCAAGGCGTAAACAACAAATAACCTACAAGGGAAAGCCTATCAGACTAACCGCAGACTTCTCATCTGAAACCTTACAAGCCAAGAGGGAGTGGGTGCCTATCTTTAATCTTCTAAAACAGAACAAAGCCCAACCTAGAATTATCTGGCAAAATTAAGTTTCATCTATAAGGGGGAAATAAAATCCTTCTCAGACAAGCAGTCGCTTAAGAAATACGCAAAGACCAGACCAGCACTACAGTAAATTCTCAGACCTGCCTTCTACAAGTGAACAGGGCAATAGACACTCCTCAAAATGAAATCCTCAAAGAATTAAAGTCTACATCTCGAACTTCATGATGACTTAAGCTCTAAGGCAAAGCAACAGGACTTCACCCATCAATATGAACGGAAATTTTCCTCGAATTTCAATCCTCTCAATAAACGTAAATGGTTTCAACTGTCCTCTGAAGAGACATAGGCTGGCAGAGTGGATAAAATTCCACAAGCCTAGTATTTGCTGTCTACAGGAAACATACCTAAACCATAAAGATGCCTCCTGGCTGAAGATCAAGGGATGGAAAACTATCATCCAAGCAAACGGAAGTCAAAAGAAAGCAGGGGTTGCTATATTATGTGCAAAGAACATTAATTTTAAATTAATAAAAGTTAAAAAGGATAAAGAAGGCCACTTCATAATGGTGAAAGGGAAGATCCAACAAGAAGACCTAACAATTCTTAATATTTATGCTCCCAATGCAGGAGCACCCAATTACATAAAGCAAACCTTGTCTGAGCTAAATACCATCCTAAACAATACTGCCATAGCAGCAGGGGACTTTAATACACCACTAAATGAACTGGATACATCCTCCAAACAGAAATTAAGTAAAGAAATAAGGGACCTAAACAAAGATATTGAACAAAAAGGTCTGACAGATCTATACAGAACATTTCACCCAAATAAAGTCGAATTTACATTCTTCTCAGCAGCCCATGGATCCTTCTCAAAAATTGATCACATACTAGGCCGCAAAGCATATCCCAAAAAATTCAAGAAAATACAAATAATACCTTGTGTCTTCTCTGACCATAGTGGTATAAAATTAGAGTTCAACTCTAACAAAAATACATACC